AAAAAGAAATCAGCATAATTCTATGAAATAATTTCTTCTGAACAATTTTTAAATAAATGACAGGGAGGTCACTGCATAACATTAATAATAGACACCTCCAAAAACAAATTTTGGAACAAGAAAATTAACTTCATGAAAGAGTACTTTACCTTGGTATCAGATTGATTGCTGCCCTCATCCGGCATAGAATGACTAGGGCCAGGTTTATCAGAACATCTTTAGAGTAAAAATAACAACAACAACAAATGTATAAGTCCAGTTTTTCAAAAAAATAAACTTTGGTGAATGTTTAATTATATCAAATGATACTTCTTGATGATATAGTAATAACAGTATGACTTCTCTTAAACAAAATTTATTTATTTATTTCTGCCTCCAATTTTTCCTGTCTATGAAATATTCAATGAAGGAGCTTTTAGTTCCATTTCAAAAAGTAACAACCAATAGTTTGGGGAACCTGAGAATAATTTATCTTTACAAACTGGCCTGTGTTGAAAGCTGAACTGAAAATCAAATTAATGGGCAAAATAATTATTGTTTCTTAAACTGAAAAGGTCTCTAATAACCCAAGATAAAGTAGAAAAATACTTTCCTGTATCTTTTCTATCAAAGAGTAAGCTGGGTTCTTCAACATGGATACTATCTACTAAAAAGAGCCCATTGCTTCCTTTTATCCACAAACAGCACAGGGAGTTCCCTGAAATATTTGAATTGTTTGAAAGTTGAATGTGCACAAGTCAAAGAATGTAAATATATTTGTTATTGGAAATACTTTTGCCATACAGAGTGAAATATAAAATATAATTCTTTTTACTATATAGGTCTTGCCTCATTTAGATCCATATAAATTATCAAGCACTTCAAAATCTTCATGGGCACTCAAATGATCAAGAGAAAAGATTGCCAGAAAAGTAGAGTACTCAAAGTCATACCTCTGTTCTCCTAAGTACAGCCTAAATATCTTCCTTCCTATGGGTATACACTCTCAGATCCCTCTTCTTTAGGACTTAGTGGTAGTACCCAACCTTTAAATCTACATCCTTTGAACATGTAGATACCTGAGAGATGGCTGGGCACAATTGACACAATATTGGAGCTCATTTTCCATGTTCCTAAATGGTGTCTCAGTCACTGGTGTCAGCATAAGCATGTTAACAAGTACCCAACTGAAGCTCTATGATGGCT